TGTAAAGCAGATTCCAGTGTTTATTACCTTTTAGAAAGCAGTTTGTCTTATCCTATAAAGCCTCCTTAATCCTGTAATGCTATGTAATTAAAATTTCATTGTAGAGAAAGCTACTAAAATAAGTTTTTCCCACATTTTAACAAATGGCTCTGAGGTCATATTTAAATCTATAATAAATGATACTTTATAATCATAGACTTTTTTATAATTAAAAGTCATCTGGCCTGGCCGGGCGTGGCTCAGCGATTGAGCGTCGACCTAGGATCCAGGAGATTGAGGTTTGATACCCCGTCAGGGCACATGTCTGTGTTGCAGGCTAGATCCCCAGTTGGGGGCGTGCAGGAGGCAGTCGATCGATCACTCTCTCATCATTGATGCTTCTCTCTCCCTCTCCCTCTTCCTCTCCCTCTCCCTCTCCCTTTCTCTCTCTGAAATCAATAAAGATACATTAAAAAAAAAAAAAGTCATCTGGTAAAGCCCTTTCATTTTACAGAGGAAGAATGTAAAGCTTAGAAAAATTAAATGACTTCCCCAGGAAAAGAATTATACAAGTACTAAAGATATAACAGTAAATAATATTATGTGTCATCCCTATCTACTTCCTAGTTAAAGTACACAGCGTTCAAATGGGGAAAGAACCTTTGCCATAAATATAAGAATTCTGATTCAAGTACACACACATTTCTCCTACTGGAAAAAGTTAAGAGAAAAGTATTTGTTAACAAGAAACAAAAAGGCCAGGTAAAGCAGATAGCATAGCAACCATAAAAGAAAAGAAAATGGCCCGGCCAGGTGTGGATCAGCGGTTGAGCGTCCACCTAGGATTGAGGCGATTGGGGTTCGATTCCCGGTCAGGGCACATGCCCGGGTTGCGGGCTCAATCAATGACTCTCTCATCATTGATGTTTCTATCTCTCTCTCTCCCTCTCCTTTCCTCTCTCTGAAATCAATAAAGATATATTTTAACTAAATAAAAATAAATAAATAAATAAATAAATAAATAAATAAATAAATAAATAAATAAATAAGAAAATGAACCGATTTCATACTTATATCTATTAAAAGAAAATTTTCTGAGCTGCTGTAAAAAAGAATATGGTAGTAAAACTATAGAAGCACAGGACAGATGATCCAATATGGCAGTAGACTAGGCAGAAGTTACACTCACTTCCTCCCAGGACCAAACTGCAATTACAACTAAAGCACAGAACAATTAACCTGAATAACCAACTGAAAAAAAGCACGGGACCACCTGAGGGTAATGTCAGACAAACAGTTCTCTACAGATACATGTATGTAATTATATACATAAACACACACACGCTCACCAACTTATAGCCTTCAAACCTTGAGGCAGATAGTCAGACAATATAGTGATCTCCTCTTAGTTTGCAAATTATCTTTTTAAAGCAGCATAAATTTTGCAGTAAAACTAGAGTTCCTCAACTTTTTCAAGTACAAGGAACAGTAAAAGAAAACTTAAGAGAACATTAAATACTCTTAACTGTCTAGGTGATATACTTTGCCACTGATTTAACACATCTTTATTCATTTTATGACTATAAAAAACATTTAAGAGTTTTCATAAATTCATAATCTCAGTCTCCCTAACCCAGCCATAAGTAACTCCTTTCTACCACTAACTCTTCTAGATGGTAGTAACAGAGATAAACATATCAAAGTAATTGCAGTCTTGGTACTCAGAAGAACAGACAATAAAATAGGTATATTCTTAAGAACCACACCATAGACATATATTTGGGGGGGTGTGTGTGTGTGAGTGAGAAGCAGGGTAAAATGATAGAGAAAGTCTCCCAGGAGCTAGAAATCTGCAAAGTATATTTCCCAGACCCCACTGCAACCTAAGAGGTTTAGTTGTCCCAGAGGGTGCCAATGTTAGATTAAGAGACAAGAGACCAACAGGACCCATATTCTTTCCTGCTCCTGTTCTGACATAGCCAATGAGGAACTGTGAGCTACTCCAACTTTCAGCATTGATGACCACGCAGGGAAGTATCAATGAGACTGCAGGCTCCTTGACTGTTAGAGCAGCAAAGAAGGCAAGTTCCTGGCTTTTTGGCTAGGTAACAAGAGCTATATTTTCAGCACTGCAGTCTTGAGGAACTCTGGTAATATCACTTTCACTTTTGTTCCTCCAGTCCGGGAGGCAATAGGTACTTCCCCTGTGTACTAATCTCCAGGTGGCATTTCCTTGGCTTTTTATATTCCTTAGATTCTTCCAACTCTTTTATGACCAATTCACTGTATTAAAACCTTTCTATCAGAAACACCCTAAGTGGTCTCTAGTCCCCTGAATGGACACCAACAGATAGAGGAAAGGAAGAAATATTACGCTCCAGAACCTACTGTCACACATTCTGTTACAACACCCTTACATGCAGGCATGGCAAACTCCATTATTCCCTTTTATAGAACACAAAATTGAAAAATGAAAGTGGTGAAATAAATGGACCAAAATCACTCAGCTAATAACAGTGGAGCAAAAGCTTAATCTAAGTTGTCTCTGTCTAAATCCTATGTTCTTTTTAAAACAATCTTAAAGTCAAGGAATGCGAACTGCTTCCAATTTAAGAAAAGAAAAGAAAAACCACACACACATACATTATTGAAATCAGTTCAGGAAAGAAGGTGCTCATTAACAGCACTAGCACTAAAAAGACCAATCTCTACCCTCTTGAAGCAAATAACACTTACATACCTTACTTCAAAAAAACCTGATTTTTGAAGATTTAATTTACTCTAAGAAAGTGATTTATAAAATATTTTCAAGGAAAATTCTTGACAAGAAAGCTTCCAATATACATTTAAACAACTTATTTACCAAAAGTTTATCATAACTATAATGTTTTACAAATAAAACTATAGAAAAGAGCAAGGTATTCTTATATAAAACAATAATATAAGACTGGCTGATTTAAAGAAAATATCAGAAACAGGACTACTACAAAGGATAATATATTATGGAAAAAAGTTAACCTATTATGTTAATATAAATCAATAACTCAACAACAACAAAATTAATCTTACTATATTATATTTTTTAAGAAGTTGGAATCCAAAAGACCACTTGATTTCAAGAGAAATCAAATATACCATACACTGGCATCCAAGTTCAAAGGAAGGCAAAAAGAGAACTAGTAAGAAATCATTAAAAACAAATTGGCGCAAAATATTAGAGCTAAAACCATAAAATTCTTAAAACAAGGCAAAGGGATAAATCATGATCTGGGATTTAGCAATGGATTCTTGGATGTGACCCCAAAAGCAGGAGCAAAAGAAAAAAATAAACTGACCTTCATCAGAATTAAAACTTCTGTGTTATCAAAGGGCATTATCAAAAAAGTAAAAAGACAACCTACAGATGGGAGAAAATATTTACATAATACACATTGTCATAATACATAAATATTACATATCTGATTAAGGTTTAATATAAAGAATTTATAAAGAATAAAGTTTTTAAAAATTTTCATGGGCAAAGAACTTCAATGGACAACAATAGTAACAATGGTGGAAGAACATATACAAATGGCCAATAAGCACATGAAAAATTGCTCAACTGTAGTAGTCCTTAAGGAAATCCAAATTAAAAACATAAAGAGATACCACTTCACACCTACTAGGACACCAAAATCTGAAAAATAGCCCTAGCTGGTTTGGCTCAGTGGTTAGAGCGTTGGCCCACCGACTGAAGGGTCCCAGGTTCAGTTCCGGTCAAGAGCACGTACCTTGGTTGCAGGCTCAATCCCCAGACCAGTTGGGGCGTGTGCAGGAGGCAACCAATCAATGTGTCTCTCTCACATCGATCGATCGATCGATCGATTTCTCTCTCTCTCTCCCTTCCACTGTCTCTGAAAAGCAATGGAAAACTATCCTCGAGTGAGGATTAAAAACAAAGAGAGAAAAATAGAAAATAACAAGTGTTTGACAAGGATGTGGAAAATTAAAACATTCATAAATTTCTGGTGGGAATGTATAATGGTGCAGCCTCTATAGAAAACAGTCTGACAGTTCCTCAAAAAGATAAACATAGAACTACCATATGACCCACAATTCTATACCTAGATATATAGCCAAAATAATTAAAAGCAGGAACTGAAGCAGATACTGTACATGCTAATTTTGGTACAGCTAAAATGTGAACGACAATTATAATAAATATTATCAGACTTCAGTGTTAATATGTTGACCAAAAATAATAAGAAGGAAATCAAATTAACTAAGAACCAAAAATTAGCAAATTTTATAAGGAATATAAGTGTTGATATTCTTGTTATAGACAGCTGCTGATAAATTTTGAAGCACTGAATAATTATATGACAACCATATATGTTAACTTTTTTTAAAAAAAAGCTACCGTATTTTCAGTAAACTTTTATAAATTTAAAAGGAAATTTTCTGACATTTCAAAAGTAATATATATTCCTCATTCTTGAAGGAAAAATGCCCTCGAATATTAAACACACATATAAATATGTCAAATAATACAGCAGTCTTTAATGTTAGCAATTAATGAGACAAAGGGGATATATTTGTACCTTAAAAGAAATAACTAAATTTAGAATGACTTTTACTTCTTTCTTCTTGAAATAACTGCTTAAAAAGTTACAAAGGTACAACTTAAAAGAAAAAAAATAACTTATGGGTGTGTACTTCACGGACATAAGTTCAGGATTTTAGAATAGGAAATAAAATGTATTCTCTCCACCTGCCCCTCTCTGTCTCTTTCTCTCTGTCTCTCTCCCTCTCTGCCTCTCTCTCCCTCTCTGCCTCTCTCTCTGTCTCTCTCTCTGTTACACACACACACAGACACACACACCCATATACACACACACCCATTTTAGATACACCCAACTAAAAAGTTGTCGACAAATTCAAAGTCAGTGAATTTCAACTTAATTCAGTTTATAAAATATTGCCACTAAAAAAAAGTACTAAAAATAACATGCTCATAGTAATACCTATTTACTGACACTTACTGTATGAAAATTTATCATTTCTTGAAGGCTGTCAGAAAACTTGGTCAAACTTGTCTATGAGAAAGAAACCAAAAGAAAAAACAAAGTCATTTAAGAGCCACTAAAACAGGCCACAAAAATGTTACTTCAGCATTTACGACAGAAAGATTAAATTACATTGTAAACAATAACATATTTCTAAGGATAATCTCACTACCTCATAGGCATGCTCTGCAGAAGTCAAGTCTAACATATAGTAATATAAAACCCTAAAAAAGTCAAAGAATTAGAACTGCCCTATCAACAGTATTATGCTAACAAATAGGAATGGCATATATAAACCTAAAAGTAAAACTGAGTGCATCAAGACTGTGCCCATGTAGGCATCTATGGGTCAAATCATCATCAAACTATACCCATTCCTTCACCTGTTATTATTCCTCGTGAAAGGAATGTCATTAATACCACACAGTAAGGGGTCTAAGCTAACCTAGTATAGGTAGCTGATCAAAACTTTCATATACCAGAGCTCTCCATATATACAGTTAGACACTATTCTTAGGTTAATGCTCTACTTTCCTCTACAAGCAGCTACTAATAAGCAAATCCTGCTCTTCCTGCTCAAGCCTTCCTGTAGATGCTTCAGCTCACCTAGCAGTAATTAAACATAATCACAATGCAAATCAACCATCAACTTCTAAGTATCCAAAAAAACAATTATACAAGATAGCACCAAAGGGTGACAGCTTTTCTACTTCTAATTTTAAGGAGCATTATAACTCTTCATAAGGCAAACTGGTGCATAATTGATTAATGTCTTGTTGCAGTTATCATTTTAACTAATTTTCAAATACTAACCTCAACTACAGCATCATTACTAGAATATTGTGCCAGGTCTCGAATCCCATTCATGAACTGTTTATTTGCAACACAAAAGGCTTTTCCGGTATCAATCATCGAAATACAAAGCTTCACAAGCTGAAAAAGAAAAACATTAGATCAGGTTGAAAATAACTTTACAAATTATTTAGTTGAACAAGTAATTCATAAGAAAGTTGTACCAAAAAGTTGACTTTTTAGGACCCAGAGGTTGTCTGATAACAAACCAAAAAAATCATTTTATCAAATCAAATTCAACCCCATAAATTAATTCCATAAAAATTTATTAAAACATCTATTCGAAGGGAGAAAAAGGAACTTCAGGCAGAGCAAGCAGTATGATAAAAGTTATTCAACATAAAAAAACAAACTGTGGTATGTTGGAAGAAAGGGGAGTAAACTGGTATGCTGGGCTAGTACTGCTGGTCATTTCAATATCAGTCTATCTAAGCAGTTGCCTGAATTGATTAATCAACCAATTTCTCCATTGCCTACTGTTCAGGGCATTGTGCAAGATGTCAGATAGAACTGAATAATATAAGCCTACAAAGAGGGAAGATTTTTACCTAAAAGTGAATGTCAAATTAGTCAAAATTATCAAGCTAGCAGCCCCAATTCATTCAACAGGTTTTTTCTTTTACTAAAGTGAAAACTATGTCATAGGCACTAATACCAACTCTGCAACATGGCCATGAAAGTTGGAGATAACATAAATAAAACAAAGAACTTGGTACCCTAAGTGCCCAAGAAATAAGAGGGTTATTTTCCCTTTAAAAACAGCCTGTCTTCAAGGAGTTCATAGTCTGTTGAACACCATTATTATTAACATTTATTTAGAACTTAGTATGTACCAAGAACTGTGCTAAGCGCTTAAAATATATCAACACATCTTATTCTCATAATGACCTTATAAGACAGGAACTCTGCCGGGCCGGGTGTGGCTCAGCAGTTGAGCGTCGGTCGACCTGGGATCCAGGCAATCGGGGTTCGATTCCTGGTCAGGGCACATGCCCAGGTTGCGGGCTCAATCAATGACTCTCTCATCATTGATGTTTCTATCTCTCTCTCCCTCTCCTTTCCTCTCTCTGAAATCAATAAAATATATTTTTTAAAAAAAAGACAGAAACTCTTATTTCCCCTATTTTGGATATAAAGAAACTGAAGCATAGGAAGGTTGAGGAACTTGTCCAAAGCCACAACCAGAAAAAAACCCTAAGTTTGGTAGTAACTAAGCTATGATTTAAAGCATATCTGCTTAACAAACATGGAGCAAGCATTCCAGTGAGAAGATGCAGCAGATACAGAAATTATATCTAGATGGCAACTATGATGCTCTATGATACCAACTGCACGAATACCTGCCAGAATGGACAAATAATTAGACCCAGCAGAGCAATGCCACTCATGAAGCAATATTCAGAAGGGCATACATTATAAGCAAAACAAATATAAGCTAAGTCATCAAGCTAGTTTAACCTGTTGCTGGCATGATTTACAATGTTATTACAGGTAAAACTTGCCTTGCACAAAGTTATGAAATCACTGAACTAGTCTTGGGCAACCTCTCTCCTCCACTAGTCCTTCAATGGTGCCACCTTCAATAACAACCATTTCTAGCACCTCTCAGCTCTCTCCATGATAACTCCTCATAATTCTAAAGTAAAATTTGTAGATAATAGCTTAAGAATTTGGGAGAGGTACATTTATAAGGGATTAAGATCTTAACTTAGAAAAATAACTATGGAACTTCTATTTGGGTAGAAGATGATATTCTAATAAAAGTCAAAGTTCCCATGGTACCCTTAGTAATCCTTTGAAAGCAAAATGTCAGTATTTTAATAACTTGTTTGGGATTTGAATCTTTTGGTTTTAGAATTCTACCAGTCTCCTAACTCCAACTAAATGATATAAAAAAGAAACTGCTCATAAAAGCAAAATCATTAACAAAAATGTTGTCAGTGGATTGTTTAGATACGTTAAATTTTGAGGTTCCCCTTCACAAAAAATGTTTCATATGATTTAGATGCAGTTCCAACCAAAGAGAATAGATGCTACTACTCTGATTCTTTTAAAAGTCTTGCCTTCTATATACTCTCTCATAAATCTACCAGAAAGTCAAAACTATATCTTCTACTACCTACCTTAAGGGTTTAAGAACTGTTTTCAAAGAGTGCTTAAAAATAAGTATACTGCCCAGCCGGGTGTGGCTCAGCAGTTGAGCGTCGATCTAGGATCGAGGCGATCGGGTTTCAATTCCCGGTCAGGGCACACGCCCAGGCTGCAGGCTGGATCAATGACTTTCTCATCATTGATGTTTCTATCTCTCTCTCTCCCTCTCCTTTCCTCTCTCTGAGATCAATAAAGATATATTAAAAAAATAAATAAATAAGTATACTACCTCAGGGTAAAATAATAATAATAATAATAATAATAATAATAATAATAATAATAATAATAATTCCACACATTTAATTTTAAATAAAAAGTAAAGTTTTGAAAATAATATTCTTGCCAAAAATTATAACATTAATTCTTAAAAACACTTGCCTGGAAGCTTGTTAGTGTTCCTCAGAAAATTCCCAAGTGGCATGTGCTCCCCCAACATGGATCCAGAAATACAGTGGTGCACAAGAGCACTGAACTAAGAATAAAAACATATGGGTTCTAATCCTGGTTCTGCCTCTTCTAACTGTGATATGAAGCAAGTCCCCTTCACTTTCTGGGCTTTGGTATGATCATCTCTAAAATGGGAATAATACCACTTGTCCTACCTACCTCACAGGACAATTGTAAAAATCCAAAAGCATACTGTATAACAAAGTGCTTGGAAAACTATAGAGTACTACACAGAAATAATTTATTAGTAAACATTTTCTAAAATTTGTATCTAATTTACATATATAACTAATACTGCTTTATATAGTTTCTATACTATTTACATCATATACATATATATCTCAAGATTTCAAAACATTTCAAAACCTTCAGACTAATTAACATATTTTTATATCCTTGCTACTCAAACAACTACATAGGTATCACCTGGAATCAGGTTAGAATCAAAGAATCTCAGCTACTCCAGACTTAATAAATTGGGATCTGTATTTTCACAGGATAACATCCCTAGGTGATAGGAAGCTAAGCAAACAGGTTTCAGAAGCACTGCTTTACATACCAACACCACTTACAATAATAATTAAATAAATAGGAAATTATTTTCAAAAAAGTTATTTCTAATATACATCTGATTTCTCCTCAGCAATTTTAAGAGTTATTTCACTGAATAATGGTTCCTTAAGATCAGAAGCCATGTCTTAGTCATTCTCATATTTCTGCCTGTTACATAGCAGACAATGTTTCTTGGGTAGAAGCAAAAGAACCAAGATTATCAATAATTAATATAGAAGGTAGTAATCAATATACATTTACCCTTACAGAGAATATGACCACTTAATATTAATTATTAAATATATATTAAGCATTTCTGGCAATAGCTTTTTAAAAATATGAGTTTTTAAATTTTTATTTTATATTTGAACATGGCCACATCCAAACTTATAAACAGGAATGGTAGGTTATGTATAAAATCCATTGAGCATCAAAAAAGATAGTTGCAATCTTTTTGATGGAGAAAAAGGGAACAAAATTCCAATAATATAAAGAATATATAGTGAGCTTTAAAGTCAGACATGGGGCCTTGGATGGGTAGCTCAGTTGGTTAAAGCATCTCCAAGGTTGCAGATTCAATCCCTGGTCAGGGCACATACAAGAATCAACCAAAGAATGTACAAATAAGTGAAACAACAAATCTCTCTCTCTCTCTCTCTCTTTCTGAAATCAATAAATTTTTTAAAAATAATGTCAGACATGGTTCAAATTCTTTCTCTGGCACTTAGATTAGGTTTTCAACAAGCTACTTATTGTTTCTAGTCTTAATTTCCTTTGTAAAATTGGGATAATAGCATTTACCCTCACAGAGATAAAAGAAATAACATAAACCACCTACTATTGTAGGCACAAATTATTATTTATGGAAAACAAGAGTAATGTTTTAGAAGTTGAAAAAGTAAAATCTACCTTATCAAGTTTGAGTTCCAATTCTGCCACATCTCCTTCCACTTCTTCCAAAGCAGCCCTAAAAAAATTACATATAAAATAAGTTATTTTATGTGTTTAAATGTATATACTTTACTCTTAAAAATTATTCTAAGTGAAAAATAGATATAAATGCTTAAAAAGTGTACTTCACATAAAGTAATAATTACCTTAAGATAAAATATAAGTATTTCATAATCATGTAATACAATAGGTAATAAATTATTGTTTAAGGTAATGAGAGAATACATTGGGCTGATTTACTCAAAGCATTTATATTATTCAAATTAATAACACTAATTAGAACTATTTATGAGACTGACCCGCTGCCTACTGCGCTAAGAGGGCAGCTACTTAGAACTATTTAGCATGTGTGTTTTTTAAAAAATGAGTAAGAAATTTCAGAAGTTGAGCCTTACAAAGATTCAGATTTCTATTCAATAAAATACAAGTAACCAAACAGCAAAGCATCCTTGGCAACCAAAAAGAAAAGCTTTTACTTTCAGAAATAGCTCAGAAAGATGTCACCCTTGTTTAATGTTCCATTTATTTCCAATGTATTTTTAAGAAATGAGCAGATACTCTTATTTGTCCGGACATGATAAAAGTACAATACTAGTTAATACTTGATATCGTACTATAGGCAACATTCAAAAGTGGAAATTTGGAAGAAAACAGCAACTAAAGTTTATAAAACTTTATTGTTAAGAGTAATATACAACAAAATGCAGTTCATCTACTTTAAGCCATATATGCCATTTTCAGATACATTCTTGATAAACTAGCAACTTCCTAATCACTATTATTTTAATTAAACAAAATCTGTTTCAGTTGGATAATAGTGGGAACTAGCAACTCAAAAAGCTATTTGGAACTCTAGGTAAGAAATTCTCAATTAGATAACAGAACTAAGAAGAGAAAGATTGCTAAGATACAACCTCTATTCCCAGAACTATCCACTTAACCTCTATGAGAACTCTGAATAGTCATTTTTATCAGCCTGTGATTCCATTTCTCCATTGGTCACATTTACTGAAAAAAGTTTTTAATCTCCCAAAGAAAATTTTATAACTATAAATTATTCAGTAAATAGATGTCTATTCCGTAAAAATAAGATACTCTAACATACAGTTTAAGAAAACAAGAGGTGCTTTATTTTCAAAGCATAAAAATAGAAATGCTTCTCCCCTAATTAAAAGTTTGTCATTTTCTTCTGCAGTGTTTTTTAAAAGTCCACATTGTTCTGTTGGCCTAGAAAACATTTCCCCTTCACATTAATCCTCATTCCCTTCACCTACCTATATGCTACTCATCGTTTAAAACTTAATTCACAAAAGAAAATAAATACATTGGTATAAGGATACTCATTGTTTGTAATAGGTTGGAAACATACATGTCCAACAACAGAAAATAACGTAAATAAATGATGGTATATCCACACCATTATGTGAGGCAGCAAGTTTTTAAATGAGATTGATCTATATCTGCTGACATGGAAACATATACATGATAGATTACACAGGGGGAAAAGCAAGTTAAAAATTAAACATAGTATAAAACCAATTTTGTGTAAAATAAACCTTGATGGTATATGCATAGAAAAAAATCTGGAAAGATATTTATTAATCTATTAACTACAACTTTTAAAAATGGGGATTAGAGATCAGGGTATATAAATAGGAATTTACACTTTTTACTACATATACATCTGGATTCTTTTAGTATTTGTAATAACTATGCATTTTTAAATAACTTTTAAAGCTAATAAAGAGAGAGAAGAAAAAAGGTGAGCTATCGCCTTCCTAGGAGGTGGGTCCTCCTGGAACCACTTCCCCCACCCACTCAGGCTCAATTACATATCCCTCCTGTGCCCCCAAAGCACCTCATGCATATCTCTAGCATTGTTCACTTCTCCCTTGGCAGTATAGACACTCAAATTGTTGACTCAAGAAAGAAACTCCCAAATTTTTACTCTGTCAAAAACTTTCTTCGTTTATACTTTTAACATTCATATAATTTAGCTTGACTGAAACTTCAATTTCTTTCAAGCAAATCAGTTGAAATGACCAACTTAAGATTTGATCTAGTCATTGGTGTCTACTAAACATATACAGTCACGTGCAGCATAACAACCTTTATTTTGGTCAATGTCAGACCACATATACAATGGTGGTCCCGAAAGTTTATAATGGAGCTGAAAAATTCCTATCACCTAGTGATGTCACAGGCATCGTAGCCATTGTAAGGTCTTAATGTCGCAGCACAACCCCATTACTCGTGTTCGTGGTGATGCTGGTAACAAACTGACTGCACTGCCCACTGTATAAAAGTATGGAGCATATGATTATGTACCATACATAATACTTGATAATGATAAGAAACCACTATGTTATTGATTTATGTATTTACTATACTATTTATCATTGTTTTAGAGTGAACTCTATTTATTAAAAAGAAGTTTGCTGTAAAACAGTATGCCGTGTTATGCCCCAGTAACCTCATCGTACATCTCATATTTACCACATCTCTTGACTGTACCATTTAATTTCCTCTTGTGTTGTTTTATAAATTTAGGGTTGCCTAAATGTACAATGTTTCTATTTTTATTTTTTTTATTTTTATTTTTTTTTAAATATATCTTTATTGACTTCAGAGAGAGGAAAGGAGAGGGAGAGAGAGAGATAGAAATATCAATGAAGAGAGAGTCACTGATTGAGCCCACAACCCGGGCATGTGACCTGACCAGGAATCGACCCCCGATTGCCTGGATCCTAGGTCAATGCTCAACCGCTGAGCTACGCCCGGCCGGGATACAATGTTTTTAAAGTCTACAGTAGAGGAGAGTAATGTCCTTGGCCTTTACATTCACTCACCACTTACTAACTCACCCAGAGCAACTTCCAGTACTGCAAGCTCCATTCATGATAGGTGTCCTATAGAGGTGTACCCCTTTTTTATCTTTTATGTCAGTTTTTACTGTTCCTTTTTTATATTTAGATGTTTAGATACACAAATACTTACCATTATATTACAATTGCCTCCAGTATTTCGTACAGTAACATGCTGTACAGACTTGTAGCCTAGGAGCAACAGGCTATACCAGATAACCTAGGTGTGTCATGGGCTATCCCAGCTGGTTTGTGTAAATGCACTCTATGATGTTCACATGACAATGGATTCACCTAACAATGCATTTCTTAGGCCCTATCCCCATTGTTAAGCAACATATGACTGTAGTTTGGTAGAAACTGCATGTACATTTATGTACATTTCCTCAATCTTATTTCACTGTGCAATTCTACTAATTTACTTTTGTGAAATGATACTTCAAAGAGAAATAAGAGTTATGTAAAAAAAATGAGGAAAAAAAATGTTTATCCCGTCATTTGAAAATAAAGCCCTTTACAATAAAAAGTTAAACGTAAGTTACCACAGGATCCAACAGTCGCACTCCTAGGTATTTACTCAAATAAGCTAAAAATTTATGTGCACACAAACACCTGTACCTGAATGTTTATATAGCTTTATTCTGAATTGCGAAAACCTGGAAACAACCAAAATGTGCTTTGGTAGATGAATGTGGTACATCCATACAATGGAATATTTTCCATCGATAAAAAGAAATGAGCTATTAAGCCACATAAAAACATTAATAAATCTTAAATACATATTGCTAAGTGAAAGAAGTCAATCTGAAATTCTACATACTGTATTATTTCAACTATATGACATTATGGAAACTATAAAAACAGTAAAAAGATCAGTGGTGACCAGGGATTCATGGGGAGGGACAGAGGGAAGAATATATGGAGCACATGGGATTTTAGGGCAATGAAACTAACATCCTGTATGATACTTCACTGGTGGGTACATGTCATTCATTTGTTAAAAGCCATAAAATGTACCCATAGGTTCATAAAGAATGAACCCTAATGTAAACTATGGATTTTAGTTAATAATAATGTATCAATATTGGCTCATCAATTGTAAAAATATGCCATACTAATGCAAGATGTTAATAATAGAGGAAATTGTGGATCAGTGATTGCTAGGGGTTCCGAGAAACAGGAGAAGAAATGAATAGGTAGAATACAGGATTTTGGGGGAGTGAAATTATTCTGTATGATATTGTAATGATAGGAACTTAACATTATACATTTGTTAAAGTCTGTATAACCGTACAACCCAGAGTGCATCCTAAAGTAAAATATGGACATTAATTAATAATAATGTATCAATATTGGCCCATCAGTTGTAACAAATATACCACATTAATGCAAGATGTTAACAATAAGGGAAACTGGGAGTGAGTATATGGGAACTCTATACTTTCTAAGCAGTTTTACTGTAAATCTAAAACTGTTCTAAAAAATAAATTAAAATTTTTAAAAAATAAAAATAATCCCTTTATAATCATATATTCAAAGAATCTGAAAGTTTATATTGGAAGATCTTCAACATTTCACCTTCTCTAAAAAGTCTCTGGCCTTGGTCATCTAAGATATGTGTGAAAACTTATAGCAACAGGTAAGTACCTAATGTCTAAGGTAGCCTATTAAATATTCCTTATTATTAAAAAAAAAGTAAAGCTGGGCTGGCGTGGATCAGTGGTTAAGCATCGACCTATGATCCAGGAGACTGCAGTTCAATTGCCAGTCCGGGCACATGCCTGGGTTTCAATCCCCAGTAGGGGAGTGTACAGCAGGCAGCCGATCAATGACTCTCTCATCATTGATGTTTCTATCTCTCTCTCTTCCTCTTCCTTCCTCTCTCTGAAATCAATAAAGACATATTTAAAAATAAAGTAAAATCTGACTATTGTGTACTTATTAATTTTTTAAAAGTATGAGAAAGAACAAGGTCTCAGTTCAAATTATGCTCCACCATTCACTTATCTAACCCTATAGTATTTTATCTAAGTTTTTTCATCTGTAAAATTAGTAAAGAAATACCTATTAAAACAGTTGTAAAGGTTAAATGAAGGACTGTCGATATCATTGACCACAGTATACATATGATGACACAAGGAACACACTCAAC